TGCCAGGCACCTTGCCACGCGCCTTAGCAACGTGGGCTCAGGGCGAGTCTGGAGAGCACGGTGGGAGAGCACAGCACAGGGGCTGAGAGCAGAAATGGCTTCAGAGCCAGCTCTGCCTGTCCTAAGTGGTAAGACCTTGAGCACAGCCCCTTACCCTTGCGGAGCCTGAGCTTCTTCATCTGTATCATGGGCTTGGTAATAGGATCCATCTGCTAGGATCATTGTGACTATTAAATTATCAGATGTGTAAAGTGTGCAGCAGATAGCCCCATACAATGCAGTTGTTGCTATGATCCCTTCTCTCCACAAACCCCACAGGGTGTTCCTCATCAGCCACATTTTACAAAGGAGAAAAGCGAGGCCTTGGGACACCCCTTGACTTGCTCCACGCCTCACTTTCTCTGGTTATGAATCACGACTGCAAGCCCTGAGCTTACTAAATAATGCAGTCCATCCTTATTATTCACTGATTCTGGAGTCATGGATTCATCTACTCACTAAATTTGTAACCTCAATATTAACACTCGCTGGAGCTCTCATGGTCATTGATGGATATGCGAGGAGCGATGAAAAATTTGAGTCACCTGATGCATATTTCCAGGTGAAGTCAAAGTCACACGCTGCCTTCTTGTTTCAGCTCTCACTCCGTAAACAAGTGTCCTTTTCACCATCTATTTAGTGCCACATTTTACAAACGTTTGTGTCTTCTGCTGGTGATTGTACTGTTGACAATGGCCCCGAGCGTGGAGCTGAAGTGCTGTCTAATGTTCCTAAGCACCAGAGGCTTAGATGTGCCTTACAGAGAAGATCATGTCGGTTAGATAAGCTTCATTCAGGCATGAGTTACAGGGCTATTGGCCTTGAGTGCAGTGTAAATGAATCAACAATATTTATTAAACAGAGTGCCTTTCAATAGAAACATGCATAAAACAAGCTTATGTATTGATCAGCCGATGAGAATGTTGGCAACAGAATGGTTCCCAAGAACCTGACCCTGTAATTCCTCTCGGAGCAGTGGCTCAGTATTTGCTAATTCAGTGTGTGCAGTGACTTTCTAGATATAATTACAGCAAATAATGAAAATCAACTGTACTTTCAGGTTTTTTGGTGCTTTTAGTTGTGAAGATAATATTTGGGAGGCATTTTAGTGAACTACAGTTACAATTAGCATTGCTGTGTGACAAATTACCCAAGTTGGTGTCTTAAAACAAGCATTTCCTTATGCTCATGGATTCTGTAGTTCAGGATTCAGAATGGGCAGAGCAGTGAAGACTTGTCACTGCCCATAATGTCTCAGGCTTCAATGGTGAAGACTCAATAACTGGGGCTGGAATTGTATGAAAGCCTCTTCGCTCATGTATCTGTTTTTGGAGCTAGGAGGATTAAAAGACTAGAATAACCAATCAAAAGCACGTGGCCTCTCCATGTGGCCTGGGCTTCCTCATAGCATGGTGGCCTCAGGTCATTCAAATTTGTTCTTGGCAACTCTGAGCTCCAAACTCCTTGGGTTTTCAAAGCAGACTTAAATGGTGGTTTTATTTAGCATTATCTTGATCTTCTACACTATTTTGGTAACGCTGTCACACCTGGCACTAGTGTCAGTGTCAACCTGAGTCAGATGGTTACCTGAGCAGGTTAAGTTATTTAACACTTCCTTCAACTTAATAGTCTTTAAACATCAGCTCATCGTTGCCTTAAAGGGATGGACTTGAAGGAGGGCAGCCATGGCAGCACCAGCCTCCTCTCTATTATTGAAAATTCCACTGTGGCCCCAAACTTGCATCCTCTACTCACCAAAATCAGTGCTCTGCTACCAAGTAGGCCCACTCTCCCTGGAGCAGAGTTTTGTGAGCAGATGAGCTTAAACTACCCTGGGGGAGGGTCTTCCCTTGTTATCCTCACCACATGCAACTTACCAAAGAATTCCTGTCCACTCACTAGCTATGTGACCTTAAGCAAATTACTTAACCTCTCTGTTCTTTAGTCTACTCACCTGTAGAATGGGAATATTAATAGTTCTTACCTCATGAGTCTACTGTGAGGATTAAATTAGTGCCTAGAAGAATGCCTTGGCATATTGTTACTCCTTGATAATATTATTATTTTCATTTATGTTGCATTTTCTCTGAAAGAATTACCACAAAATACATTTTTCTCCACCTGTTATGTTTTCAATGATATTTTTATGTCCCTTAGAAGGCGAGGGTCTGGCATATGTTTGTATGTTCCCCCTCTTAACCTATCTCTGCCTGGTAACCAACACCCACCTGCTCACTTCCACTTCACTCCTATCAAACACACTCTAGAAAGAATGGATACCCACTCACACCAAGGTGGACATCAGTGGTAACAGCCTGGAGAAATGTCTGCTAAACTGTATTCTCTATTAGGGGTCTGGTGTCGGGACAGGAAGTGAGTCTATGATCAAGTAAGCCTAAAATAAGCTCAAAAAACATACATTGAGGCCAGGCACAGTGGCTCACGTCTGTAAGCTCAGTACTTTGGGAGGCTTGAGTCCGGGAGTTAGAGATCAGCTTAGGCAACATAGTTGCCTCCAAAAAACAAAAATTAAATCTCTACCAAAAAAAAAAAAAAAATTACAAATCAAATTAACTGGGTGTGTCACATGCCTGTAGTCCTAGCTACTTGGGAGGCTGAGGTGGGAGGATTGCTTGAGCCTGGGGAGGTCAAGGCTGCAGTGAACCATGATTGCATCACTATACTCCAGCCTGGGCAACAGAGTAAGATCTTGTCTCAAAAAAATAAAAAGAAAAGAAAATGCAGATTGAAATGAAGCCCAGTGAGTTTATTTGTTGCAAGATTTCTCAGTCTTTAACACGTTAATGTGTTGCAGCTTTCTAGAAGAGGGATATAAAATGCAGCTTTTCTGACTTTTTTTTTCTTTTCTTTTCTTTTTTTTTTTTTGAGACAGAGTTTCGCTCTTGTTACCCAGGCTGGAGTGCAATAGTGCGATCTCGGCTCACCGCAACCTCCGCCTCCTGGGTTCAGGCAATTCTCCTGCCTCAGCCTCCTGAGTAGCTGGGATTACAGGCACGCGCCACCATGCCAAGCTAATTTTTTGTATTTTTAGTAGAGACAGGGTTTCACCATGTTGACCAGGATGGTCTCGATCTCTTGACCTCGTGATCCACCCACCTCGGCCTCCCAAAGTGCTGGGATTACAGGTGTGAGCCACCGCACCCGGCCTGACTTTTTTTTTTTAATCATGGAACTCTGAGCATCTGCAAGAACAAGTGTTCCTAGGAATTCACCCTTAAAAATAATGGCTTGGAGGGACCCTGGAGGAACTGAGTTCTAGCATGGAATCAAGGGCATCAGCCCCATGCTAGAGGAGCCAGATGGGGTCAATGGAGCATTCTCATTAACTGAACTTAAAGCAAAGCCAAACAAAACCTAGCATCTCTATGTAAGGACAGTTTACACACTTATTTAACACACTCATTCATCAGATATTTCTGGATGTTTATTATGTGCTGTGTACTGATCTGGGTCTTGATCTTGCCCTCTAATAATTTCTATGGGATGAGGCAAGTGGGAAAAAATGCTCTTGGGCCAAATTCTGCTTCCATCACTTGCTGGTTGTGGGATCTTAAGAAAACCCCTTGTGGCTAGGCATGGTGGCTCATGCCTGTAATCCCAGCACTTTGGGAGGTCGAGGTGGGTGGATCACTTGAGGTCAGAAGTTCAAGACCAGCCTGACCAAAGTGGTGAAACCCTGTCTCTACTAAAAATATAAAATCAGTCAGGTGTGGTGGCACATGCCTGTAATCCCAGCCACTTAGGAAGCTGAGGCAGGAGAATCACTTGAATTGGGAGGTGGAGTTTGCAGTGAGCTGAGATCGTGCCATTGCACTCCAGCCTGGGCAACAAAAGTGAAACTTTACTCAAAGAAAAAAAAAAAAAACCTTGTAAGGAAAGCAGCTAACACACAGCACATACCACGTGCCAGGACTGTTGTAAACACTTCATACATCGACTCGTGTAATCCTTATAACAACCTTATGAGTCCTGCTCTATGGTGAGCCCTGTTTACAGAAGAGGAAACTGAGGCCCAGAAAAGTTTAGTAAATTTCCCAACATCACACATCTGGTAAGTGGCAGAACTGAGATCTGAACCCAGACAGTCAGGCTCCCAAATCTGCAAACTTAGCCATGTGACATTATTATCTCCAGAGATAACCCCTATGGCACATAACATCTATGGTGAGTTGTTCCCAATAGCAGTTCTTCTCTTCGTCCTCACTAACAGAACCCAGTGTTCAGCTGCATGCACAGACACCTGCAAAAGATGATATTCTCAGCCTCCTTTTCAGTTAGGTATGGTCAAATGACAAGATCTGGCCAACCGGATGTGAACAGAAGTGAGCTTGGTGTTCTCACGGGTTTTAACCTTTAGCGTGCTCTTCCTTCTGCCTCTTTCTCCTTTTTAGCAGTTGGAATGCAGACAGAATGGCTCCCGTGGCCATTTGGATCCATAAGAGAACTAGAAAGTGGAAGCCATGTATCGTGCGGTAAAAAGAATAGACAGAGCCTGGGTCCCTGGCACCATCTCTTTTAGTTATCTAACATTGCATAACAAAACATCCTAAACTTAGGGGTTTACAACGTTGATAACTTTTTTGTTTTTAGAGACAAGGTCTTGCTCTGTCACCTGGGCTGGAGTGCAGTGGTATGATCACGGCTCACTGCAGCCTCAAACTCCCGGCCTCAAGCGACCCTCCTGCCTCAGCCTCCTGAGTAGCTGGGACCACAGGCATGCACCACAGAACCCAGTAAATTTCTTTTCTTTTTTTTTCCTTCAGAGACAAGGTCTCACTATGTTGCCCAGGCTAATCTCATATTCCTGGCCTCAAAGGATGCTCTGACCTCAGCCTCTCAAAGTGCTGGGATTACCGGTGTAAGCCACTGTGCCCAGCCAAAATAATCATTTGTTATCTTTTTTCTTTGTCTTTCTGTATTATCTTTCTTATTTTTCATAGGTCCTACACGTCAGGAATTCAGGATCCACATCCAAGGAGGCTCACTGACTTGGCTGGCAAACTGGTGATGGCTGCAGGCTGAGGACCTCAGTTCCTCTCCACAGGACAGCTTGAGTGTCCTCATGGCATGGTGGCTGCTGTCCCCAGAGTCAATGACTCAAGAGAACAAGACAGGAGCTCAATGCCTTTATGAGCTAGATTCAGACATCATGTACTGTCACTTCTGCCATATTCTTTTGGTCACACAACTCAAATCTGAATCAACGGGATAGGGGTCACACGCTGATGAATACCAGGCGGCAAGGGTCATTGTTGGCAGTCTTGTAGGCTGGTGACCACACCATGGAATGCCAGAGCGGCACTACTTCTAAAGGCCTTGAATATGTGAGAGAAATACAATTTACCTTGTTTAAGTGAAGTTAAGGTTGTGAATATACACCTGTGAATTCTTGACACAAAGTAAGCCCTCAATAAATGCCAACTCTCATTAGTCTTTTTCTCTAAGCAGGCTGAGGCATAGGACTTTGTCTTACGTTCCCCTGTCTACACACAAACATGCACACATATACTGCCACCTTCTAGACTGAGGGTACAAGGTAGGTGTGGGGGGCTGTGTATTAGCCTTTTCATTCATTCATTCAACAAGTATTTATACACACACACATGTATATATATGTGTGTGTGTGTGTGTATATAGATAGATAGATAGATAGATGATAGATAGATATTTCATTGTTGTTGTTGCTGTTGTTGATGTTGAGATGGAGTCTTGCTTTGTTGCCCAGGCTGGAGTGCAGTGGCACATTCTCAGCTCACTGCAACCTCCGCCTCCTGGGTTCAAGTGTTTCTTCTGACTCAGCCTCCTGTGTAACTGGGACTACAGGCGTGTGCCACCACGCCCAGCTATGGTTTGTATTTTCCCTAGAGACGGGGTCTCCCCATGTTGGCCAGGCTGATCTCGAACTCCTGACCTCAGGTGATCTGCCCTCTCAAAGTGCAACAAGGATTCATTACTGCCCACACCATGAGGGAGACAAGCACAACAAAGATGGAAAACAACCCATTTCTCCATCATTGGGAAGTCAGATAATTCCAAGTGCCAGGGTCCATGTGGGGAAAGTGGTCCCTCATGCCCTGCTACTGGGCATGTAGAGTGCGGCAGCCATCATAGAGTGTAGCAACTGTGTGCATTCTCTCCACACCAGGAATCATGCCCCCGAGTGTACATCCCAGAGAAATAAGCAGGAGTCCGTGGGAATCACACACTGCAAGTCCACTGCAGCTTTGCTTGGAGAGGTAGGAAGTGGAAGTAGCCAGTGTCCATCACTAAAGGGGTGGGAAAAGGAGACATGGTGACGCACACATGCTAAGCAGCAATGAGAAGCAAGGGACTTGAGTTGGACTCAGCACACAGAGCAGTGTCAAAGAAACAAAGCAGCTTATGACACAGATGGATTGAAACCACTGTTTATGTAATTAACAACTCACACTACCAATCAGCACCATGCACATTTTATAAAGACACATACACATCTGAAGACAGGCATCAAAGATATTAGAGTGGGTGCCCTGTGCCAGGAGGGAAATTAAAGAGAATCAGGGATGAAGGGAGAGCAGTCAAAACATGGAATGATGAACACAAGACTTTGCAGCACGGCTGGGAGGAGTGGCAAAGAAGCCGCCACTATCTGCTACTCAGAACACGGCAGAGGGCTGGGGATGTCTGGTCAGGCCCAAAGGGACAGCATTCCAGGCAGGAAGGACAGCTGGAGCCTCTGAGAAACAAATACTTTTGTGGGAGTGAAGGGTGCCCACGGTCAGGGAGGCAGGGGCCAGCCTCTGCCCTCTCAGCCTATAATACCTGTCTCCTCTTACCTGGCAGACTCCTACTTAGCCCTCACAGGCCTCTAGGCTGCTCCAGAGGCCATGTGGTTGGGGAAGGAGCAATGGCTTTGGAGTCAGACTAACCTGAGCTCTCCCACATTGGCCCACTGCGTGACCTCAGGCAAGTCACTTTCCCCTCTCTGAACCTCCATTTCTTCATCTGTAAAATGGGAATAATGGCAACACCTACCTCAGAAGGTTGTGTTGGGAAGTGAGATGAGTAAAATACACAAAGTCCCTGCCCCATGGAGCTTACACCCTAGTGGAGGGAGATGGTTGGTAGACAAATGAATATGCAACATGTCTGCTGCTGTATCGCAGTACCCAGACTGCCTAGCGCATAGCGGGTGCTCAGATAATATTTGCAGAATGAGTAAGTGAATGAATGAAAGTTGATGGTAAATGCTATGAAAATAAATAAAGCAGGATAGGGGGAAAGGGAGAGCTGGGGATACTGGTGTGTGGGGAGGAGCCATTACTGTTAGTTCTGGTGGTCAGGGAAGGTCTCCCTGAGATAAGACTTGAGTGAAGATTTGCAGGAAATGAGGGAAGAAACTATCAGGGGCCAGGGCGGGCAGGAAGAAGTGGGCTCCAGGTTTAGTGGGGAGGCTTGTGTGGCTGGAACAGAGTGAGGGACAGAGAACGGGAGGAGCTGAGGCCCGCTGTGTAGGTGAGCTGAGAATGTGGCAGGAGTGCCCTCCCGACTCCTGGGGATGAGACCTAGAAGAGTCAGTGCTGCTCAGCCCTTTCCCATGCAGTTGGCTGGGGCCAGCCCCTAAAAACAGTAGCTGAAACCCCTCTCAGGTATTGACCTGTGTGCCAGGTCCCAGTCCTATTGGCACAAACTCATGGAACCATCACCAGCCCTGGGAATGGGTACTATTATTATCTCATTTTCAGAGCAGGAAACTGAGACTCTTGGGAGGCAGCTAACCTTGGAACCAGAACTGGGTCTCTCTGATACTAGACCCTGGCTTGCTCCTACCACATTGTCTTGAAATACTTTGTTTACAGCTCGCCTTCCCCTCTCAGCTGCAGAAGGCCTGTCTCAGTCTCATTCATGGTTTTCTTTTACTCCCAGGGTCCCATGTGTCAAAATCTGCCTAAAGAGCAAATAAATGAATGAGCCTGCAAGGCAAGCCCCTCTTCATCTTCCGGGCCCAGTTCACGCCCTGTTTGGCATCTCCAGTTGGAGCTGGAATTGGGAGGGGGCTGGACAGAGGAATTTCAAGATGCCTGAGGGTCAGAGGCAGAGACGAGGGGGAGAAGGGGGAGAAAGCGAAAGTGAAGGGAGCTGGGAGCCCCTGTGAGGAGGCGCAGACAGGGAAGGAAATCTCCCGGTAATAATTCATCGGCTCAGGAAGCAGCGGCCTGGCCTGGGGCTGCGTGTGGGACCAGCCTTGCGGGGAGGGGGCCCAGGCCGGCTGCTTTCCTCCTCCCCAAAGCCCAGCCTGGCTGGGGTCACGGTCAAATGGTGGTGGGGGGGAGAGCCAGGTGTGGGAACAGACTCTCCCGCAGACCCTGGGTCCTAAGGGGCTCCTCCCCCAGCAGCCACGGGAAACCCCTGCTCCCTCTTCTTCCCCCAATTCTGATCTGGATTAGGGAAGCCAGGAAAACATAGTATGGCAGAGCTGCAGGTATCGTCAGGAAAACAGACGCCCAGAGGAGCCAAAATGCACCCAGGAGCCTTTCAACTCCGCTCCCTGCTCTCTGCTACACCGGCTGCCATTCGAGTGTATTTTTAAGGCCAAGTGGATGCTGGTTTAGCTAGTGCCTGGAGAGGCCTGAGCAGCAGGTACGAGTGACATGGAGACCTCAGCAACCACCGTTGGCTCATCAGTACTCTGAGGAGGGACACACGAGGCTGAACAATCGAAGGTTTCCACACAGAAGGCAGGCACTGAGGAAAGATAGCCCATGTGTATGTGATGGGATGGTGTGATGGGATTCCAAGAGGTAGTGAACCGGACAGGCTGGAGTTAGCACCCCTACTCCCACCTGTATGGCTGAAGGCCAGAGCTCTCTTATCTGTAATTCAGGGCTGCCATCCTACATCCTCAGCTGGCGCAATAGAGTAGAGAGCACCGAGTCCGGCACACAGTAGCTCCTCAAGTAAAATGTCAGTTCCGTGAGGGTGAAGAATTTGTTTTGTTCATGGCTGTATCCTCAGACTTAAAACCATGCTTGACAGATAGTAGGGACCCAACAAATATTTGTTGAATGAATGAACGAACTACTGGTGTTTGTGTATTGTAATTTTGTTTTGCTTTTTTTTTTTTTTTTTTTAAGTTTGTCTTCAGGAACAAGACACTGTCGAATCCGCATTTAGAAAGATTATAGCTTTTCTCAAAGTGTTCTCCACGGACACCACCACTATCACCAATGGCTTGTTACAAAATGCAGGTTCCTGGGCCCGTTCCAGAAGTGCTCAATCAGAATGGGAGCGATCTGGGACTCTGTAATGGCAAAAGCCCCTTCCCCAATTCTTATGCACATGAAAGTTGCAGAACTACAGGATTCGAATTTGAGGGCAGGAAGACACTAGCTGTTTCTCTGCAATCTGAACATTCCGAACGAGGAAACCGAGGCCAAGAGAGGAGAAAGGGACCTGCTCGCATCTCCCAGGTGGTCTAGGCTGGGGACAAGAAGTTCGGATCTGGTCCCACCCCGGCCGACCCGCCCAGACCTCCAGGACCTGCAGGGTTCGCCAGACGGGAATCGGAGCCTTCGGGGTGGGCCACCAGCTCCCGGGCCGCTTTCAACCTGGGGAACGGGGGCGGTGGGCGCGTCGCCATTGGCCCGGGCGCGGCGAGCGCCTCCCCATTGGCCGGGCGGAGCCCTCCGCCCCCGGCCGGGGCGGCCTTGCCATTGGCCCCTCCCTCGCCTATAAGGCGGCGGCCCGCTGGGCCGTGGGAGCGCGCGGGAGCGCAAGGCTGGGCGCGGCCAACGCTGGGACGCGGCGCACTGAGGGACGCGGCCGGCGCCCATGGCGTTCGCGCTGCTGCGGCCCGTCGGCGCGCACGTGCTGTACCCGGACGTGCGGCTGCTGAGCGAGGACGAGGAGAACCGCAGCGAGAGCGACGCGTCGGACCAGTCGTTCGGCTGCTGCGAGGGCCTGGAGGCGGCGCGGCGCGGCCCCGGCCCCGGGGGCGGGCGGCGGGCGGGCGGCGACGCGGGTCCCGTGGTGGTGGTGAGACAGCGGCAGGCGGCCAACGCGCGGGAGCGGGACCGCACGCAGAGCGTGAACACGGCCTTCACGGCGCTGCGCACGCTCATCCCCACCGAGCCGGTGGACCGCAAGCTGTCCAAGATCGAGACGCTGCGCCTGGCGTCCAGCTACATCGCGCACCTGGCCAACGTGCTGCTGCTGGGCGACGCGGCAGACGACGGGCAGCCGTGCTTCCGCGCTGCGGGCGGTGCCAAGAGCGCCGTCCCCGCCGCCGCCGACGGCGGCCGCCAGCCGCGCTCCATCTGCACCTTCTGCCTCAGCAACCAGCGCAAGGGGGTGAGTGTGCTTCCTCCCTGTCTGCGGCCGCCGGGTCAGGGTCGGCGGGGAACTGGGCTTCTTGGGGAACTGGAGAAGTGCAGGGACCACAACGAGGTAAGGGGGAGGCGACATGGAATTCGTGCTGGGTGCAGCGCCCCACGCCCAGGGTCTGGTGTGGAACAGAACCACTGACTTAATGTCCTGTCCCCCAAACCGAAAGGATGCAGGAAAACCCAGAGCTTGGTCTGATTTAACTTGCTCAGTGTGGGATATCCCCTCCAAGGAAAGGTGTGCTAGTACTTCCTTCCTGCTGGGAAGACAGCTTGAGGACGGAGTTACAAAGACCATCTTTTATTGAGTCTTCCTCTGTGCTGATGCGCTCTGCATCCACTTTTTTTTCTTCACAAGAATCCCTTCAGGCAGGTAGTTTTTCTGTCCATTTTACCTCGATGAGGATCTGAGCATCAGAGATGGAATCACCTGGCCACATTTACTCAGCTGGGAAGCCAGGGTGCCGGCCCTGGGTTTGCCTGGTGTGTGTTTCCCCCATCTTGAAATAATTGTTCCGCGTCCTAAGATCAGAGCCTAGAGCAGGTGACTGAGAAGAAAGGAGGACACATACCCCCAACGGAGAGCCTGAGGTACCCAGCTGATGAGCCGTAGGAGTGAAGAAGGGGACCCTTGAGAGGCCTCAGCCCCCATAAGGACATGGCGTTGGGAGAGGGCACTCTTGGATCAGCTGAGGGAGCTGGTGTGCAGCCCCTGCGGTGTATGCTGCATAAAGAAGTGGACCAGGCTGGTAGGAGTGGACCGGGGCTGTGTGGCAGCAGAGGTTGCCTCTTGGCTGAAACTTTGCCCAGGCCCCAAGGAACCTGCTTCATCCCCAGACCCTGTGCCTTTCTGGCCTGAGTCTTTCCTACAGTAAAGAAGCCTGTCTAACAACTTGTATTTCCGCAGCTACCATTGACATCTGGGGAAACTGAGGCTGAGAGAGTACTGGCTTTTGGTGGCCAAGTGGAAAGGAATGGGGAATTGGAGTTGGGCCCCGGGCTCCCTGCTCTTTGGTTCTCACAGCTGTGTAGGTCCCTTGCTCCACCCTGTTCTGGGGAGACCTCTTCGTCCTGGCCTGAGACCACCTTCGGTCTGGCTCATCAGACATCCAGCCTGGTTTCTCAACACTTGGCTGCCTCCATTGCCCTGAATCGGTCTTCTTAGCCTCAGGCTTGCACCTGCTCCAGGGTCCTGCTCCAGGTTCCTGCTCTACTGCTCCCAGCCGTGGGCCCTGTCAGTGTCCTAGGCTGGGCTAAGGAGCCAGGAATGGGCCTTTAAGGCTTCCAGCCTGCTATGGGAAGGGCTAACCGGGCCCTCAGGGATACTCCCTGACTGCCTTTCACCCATTCATTCTGGTCAGCAACCCTTAGCTACCCAACAGCTACCTTCTGTTGGTTCCGAGAATCCCAGAGAAGCAGGTTATAGGTCCCCAGCCACCCACCAGTCAGGACCTCACAGTGCAGCCCCAGGGTCAGGGCAGGGAGATGAAGATGAGGATGCTGTGGTCTGATGGTGGAGGAGGGTTAGGACAAAGGGATTGTCAGAGCCCAGAGGAAGCCCTCAGACCAGAGTGAGTGCTGACAGGGTTTCTGTGCCTCATTTCCGAAGGATGCTTTAGAATAGGGGCAGGCCTGTGAAGGGGCAGGAAAGGGTATTCTAGGATTGGGACACACAGCGAGAGCTGAGACCTAGAGAAGGAAGAGGGAAGAGGTTAAAAGTGGCGAGAATGGTGGGGCACTGTGGCTCACACCTGTAATCCCCGCACTTTGGGAGGCCAAGGCAGGTGGATCACGAGGTCAGGAGATTGAGATCATCCTGGCCAACCTGATGAAACCGTGTTTCTACTAAAAATTAGCTGGGCATGATGGCGCATGCCTGTAATCCCAGCGACTCAGGAGGCTGAGGCAGGAAAATCGCTTGAACCAAGGAGTTGGAGGTTGCAGTGAGCCAAGATCGCACCACTGCACTCCAGCCTGGCAACAGAGAGAGACTTCATCTAAAAAAAAAAAAAAAAAAATTGGCGGGAATGCAGAGCAGGAGCACACTGGCCAACAACAGCAGTGACAGCAGTCTTCATGAGCACTGATCTGTGCTAAGAGCTTTTCATGAGTTAAAATCCTGCAACAGCCAGGAACAAGTCACTCTGGTTATCCCCACTTGCTTCGAGATGGTACCAGTGGTGCAGACACACAGCTGGTGATGGAACCAGGATTCAAACTCAGGCCTGCCTGATTGGGAGGTGGGATAGGTTACAGGGGAAGTCCCTTAACTGTCATGTGTCCACCCCCACAGCAGGCAGGCTGGGGGACTTCTCCACAGGTCTCAGGCCTGTCCCACAGCTCACAGGGGCCTCCCCTGGGCCTGGTTGCTTCCCTGAGATCTGTCTATGGGACCGAGAACCCAGCCAAATTTGGCTGTAGAAACCATGCTGTCAACCCCACGGGCTCCTCTGGGAATAGGCGAGAGGGGCGATCCTGGCCAGCTATGGCCCCTCATAGACTCCGCTGAAAGAAAACTGACTGTCTTGGGAAGCTGTTGCTCCCATCTGAGCTTTGGGGGCCAGAGAACTTTAAGACCCAGGACCCCATTCCTTCACCTTGAGCTACCTCCTCCCTCCCATCCTAGCCAGTCTGGAATTGGGATCCTCATGGAGACAGTCCCTGTAGCATCTTTCTGTTGAAGGAGGGGTTAGGTATGGCCCTCTGTGGTAGAGTTAGCAAGTGGGAGGTAGAAGCAGGGTTCTTGTTTCTGCCCTGTTTTCCCTTTGTCGCCTGGGGGTGGTGAGGGTTGGATGGGATCATCTTGTAAGACTCTCCCCTATTGGTATACCCAGAGGGTAGCTGGGGCCAGGAGGCACTATGAACAGTGATGCTGATAATAATACTTGTGAACATTTATTGAACACTTACTATATTCCCAATACTGTGCCAAGGCTTTGCCTAGGTTAGCCTGTGTAATCCCGTGTTAGCTTGTGTGATCCTATAAAGTAACTCCTCTTTACATGGAAGGAAACTGAGGCTCAGTGAGATGAAATCACTTCCCTGAGGTCCAGTAGGTTGCCCTTGGCAAAATAGGGATTGAAGCCTAGGTCTGTCTCACGTGAGCCTAACTCCTAACCATGATGCTTCCCAAAGACCCTTGGTGCTAAGTTCCTAAGGGACAAACAAACTGGGGTCTTGTCAGGACCTCTTCTTTTTTTTTTTTGAGATGGAGTCTCGTTTTGTTCCCCAGGCTGGAGTACAATGGTGCGATCTCGGCTCACTGTAGCCTCCACCTCCCAGGTTCAAGCAGTTCTCCTGCTTCAGCCTCCCAAGTAGCTGGGATTATAGGTGTCCGCCACCATGCCTGGCTAATTTTTTGTAATCTTAGTAAAGATGGGTTTTGCCACATTGGCCAGGCTGATCTTGAACTGCTAATGTCAGGTGATCTGCCCACTTGGGATAGCCTCCCAAAGTGCTGGGACTATAGGCGTGAGCCACCGCACGCAGCCATCAGGACCTCTTCTGAGCACACTTAGCAGCTTATACAGCTGTATTCACATTTGACTGTACCTTGAGATGGCATGTAAAATCATTTTGTCCCCATTTCATAGATGAAGAAACTGAGGTTCAGGGAGGTGTACAGTCCCAGCATTCTTCTGGGACCCAGGTCTTCAGATGACCTCCAGACTTGGGGTGGGAGGGGTCGGCTCTCCCTATCTCCAAGGACTTAAAGAGTAAAAGAGGGGAAGGCCAGTTTTCTAATTCAGCCTTAATATTGCACCCCTCCCCATCCACCCTTCTCAGCCACTCCTGCCAGAGTTTGTCTGAGAAGCCCAAGCCCCAGGCTCTGCTGGGACTGTGGCCTCAGCCCTCAAAATAGCCCTGCCTGTGAGTGAACATGCTGTCCCTGGGCTGCAAGAGCCTCGAGGGAGGCTGGGCTGCATCTGGATGGATCTGCCCCAACCTGGGCCTGTGGGTGGAGGGGGCAGGGGGCAGAGCTCCCAGATGGTCAGATGTTTCTCTAAATGGGCTGAGAAAGCTGCCTGTTCCATCATCATCTAGCCAGGCTCAGGGCGATGAGCATTTACAGTGGGATTTCAGATACTGTCATGTCCTGGAAACAGAACAGATTGTTGGACAACGTAGATTTCAAGCCCAACTCTTTTACAACTGGCTGGGTGCCTCTAGGCCAGTCACTCAGTGGCCGGAGGCCTCCAAAGAGGGGGTGCTCTAACATCTGTGACCTCTGGCTTACGGTGAGGCTGAAACCCATGTGTCCATTCTGAAAATATCAATGAGAAGAGCTGGTACAGACGGCCCCTGTAGGGACTGATGGCTTCAGGGATTGCCGCCATTAGCCCATCTTGCAAAGGCTGCCACTGAATTCAGGCAGCATTGATTGGTGCCCACTCCAAGCTAGGTCCTGGGCCAAGAGAGCCCAGGCTGGAAATGGGGCCACAAAGGAAGAACTCCTTTTCCCTGCAACTCCCTGAGATCCCAATCCAGATGGGTCGGTAGGGGGATAAAGGAGAGACCCTGCTTGTCCTTCTGAGATTCATCCCCATGGAATGCCCCCAGAAAGGCAGGAAGTGCTAGGCAATTTCAGGAATAGAACAACCTTTCCAGGTAGACAAGACCTGAGAGCATGTTCCTGGCAAAGGGGATGAAAACCCAGGTCCAGGGAGAACAAGCCCTGAGGGATGTCAAGGAGGCCAGAAATTCAATCCTTTTTTGAAGGTGGCTGAGTGAGCCACTAGGCATGCGGTCAGGCAGGGGAAGGACCACTGCGGGGTGTGCTGGTTTTGCCCTTTAATGTAAAATATGCTTTAAAATGTATTGGATTTTTTTTTTAAGCAACAGATCACATGGGAAAGAAATGGAAAAGGTAAAAAAGTATAATGTGAATACAAAAATTAGCAGGGCATCGTGGCAGGGTCCTGTAGTCCCAGCTGCGCAGGAGGCTGAGGCAGAGAATCACTTGAACCCAGGAGGCAGAGGTTGCAGTGAGCAGAGATCGCACCACTGAACTCCAGCCTGGCAACAGAGCGAGACTCCGTCTAAGAAAAAAAAAGCATAGCATGAGAAAGCCTTCCTCCCATCCTCTCTCCATCATCAGATTCCTCTCTGAAGAAACCCACTGCAGTTTCCCATGTGCACTACTTTCCAGCACACAGGTGCATTCACTCAGTCTGCCCCTTGCTTTTGTCCTTAAACAAAGTCATTTGGCAGCTGTCCATATCAGTCCATATCAGAATCATATCAGAGAACGGGTTTCTTCTGCTTTCTGCTGCAGAGAACTTGATCATGTGGCTAAACTGTGATTTATTTATCAAGATCCCTGTCGGTGGGTACAGAGGTTAGTTCCAGTGTTCACATTGGCCTAATCGCACCTCTTCATGCCTCCTTCTCCCCCTCTGCAGGGTGGCCGTCGTGACCTGGGGGGCAGCTGCTTGAAGGTGAGGGGGGTGGCCCCCCTTCGAGGGCCGCGGAGATGAGCCTGGACCCTGGAGAAGGAGGCCAAGAGCCAGCCACTGGCTGGACAAGGAAGAAGACCCCAGGAGCCAAGCCCACCCCTTCTTTGTGTGAGAAACAGGGGACTGTGGCCTGGGTCCAGGACACTCTGGGCAGGGCCCTCGGGACGTCTCCACCCAATCCTGGAGAGCTGTGAGCATCCATTCAGCTCTGGCTGGTCAGAGACAAGGCAGAACTTTTGGAAAGGCAAAGACTATTGGTATTGGTGACAGAGGGTGTGTGTGTGTCCATGCGTGAGTGTGAATGTGTATATGAGAGAGAATTGGTGAGTTTAAAATAAAAGGTATTTTTAAATAAAAGATGTCATTCTGAGCTGAGGAGGGGCCCATGGACATTGGACATCAGAGGTCGGCCTTCCCCTGGACCTAGAGAGAGGCACAGATGTTCCAGGGGCTGCCCTGAGCCCTGGAAGTGGGGACTGGGGAAGGCAGGCAGAACCCCCTCTCCAGGAGCCATAACCAAACTTTCCTCAGTCTGCTATTTATCAGGTTTTTTTTTTTTGAAACGGAGTCTTGCTGTGTTACCCAGGCTGGAGTGCAGTGGCACGAGCTCAGCTCACTGCAACCTCCACCTCCTGGGTTTAAGCAATTCTGCTTCAGCCTCCTGAGCAGTGGGGTCTACAGGTGCATACCACCACACCCAGCTAATTTTTTGTACTTTTAGTAGAGATGGGGTTTTACCATATTGGCCAGGCTGATTTTGAACTCCTGACTTCATGATCTGCTTGCCTTGGTCTCCCAAAGTGCTGGGATTACAGACGTGAGCCACCGCGCCCAGCCTATGAGATGTTCTTAACAACTGTTAGGTGTCTGGTATGGTTGGTAAAGAAATCTTAATTTTATTTATTTTTTAATAAGGACTGTGTTAATTTAATTCATACAGTTGAAAACTCAGAAGGTAGCAGAGGATATGTGGTAAAGTCTTCCTGCCCGCTGCGTCCTGCCCAGCTCTATTCCCTGTGAATGATCAGGCAAATACACAAATGACAGCACATGATATACACTTTCGGCTCCTTCCTTTTTTTCCTTAATCGAGCTTGTTATCATCCCAAGTCAGTACCTAAAGGGTATCTCATCTCTTTCTGAGCTGCCTGTTCCATTTTGTGAGCATGCCACCCTTTAACCCATCGTTCTTGATGCCATCACCAACAAGGCATGTGGTTTTCCACAAGTGCCAGTGAGTCCATGCTAGAGGGGAATATTCTTACCCCTGTGTTCGCTGAAATGATTTGGAAGACCAACGACACCCAGAGGCACATGGCAGGGTGACACCCCAAGGTCTGTCTGCCTTTGAAGCCAAAGCAGCTCCTTCCCTGCCCTGGAGATGCCCTAGGTGGAAAGCCGGCACCTGTTACCCCGACTACACTCCCAGGAGCCCTAGGAGGTGGGGACTGGTGTCTCCCCCATTGCAGACTCAGCCGAGACGGGGATGGGGCAGCTGATCAGTGCAGCTAGGAGTTCTTGGCTTTCTCAGGCTGGTTGTGTCCCTGTGAGGTCAGGACCAGAGCAGCTCGGGAGAGCCAGAGAAAGGCCAGGATAGCCAGACAGCCACCCACTCCTCGGCAAGGTGCATTCATATGCCTATTTCAACAGTTTATTTAACAAACACTTTTATTTTTAATTTATTTTTCTAGGGACAAGGTCTCACTATGTTGCCCAGGTTGGTCTCAAACTCCTGAGCTCAAATGATCCAATTCATGTTTACTGACTGAAGTCTGGACCGAGTCCATGTTCCTGTTCCCTCTGTTCTGCCTCTACCCCACTCCCCTGCATTTGCCCCTCTGAGCCTGAATTGTGGCTGCCCATTTTGCAGATTGACAGATTACCAGTATTCTCTATGTGCCAGGCACTGTGCCAGATGCCGTGGGAATGAGCCCCACCGACCTGATCTTCCTCACACATGAAAACCCAGGCCCAGGGAGAACAAGGGAGTTGTAGAATTGCCAGTCCGTAGGCTGGAGCAGGCCCTGAAACCACCATGCTTAACCCCTTTGGCATAAGAAATAGAGGAAGGAGGGCCCCAATGGGCCAGGGTCCCCCACCTGGGAGAGCTTTCCCAGCACCCTCTACCTCACTTCCCGGCTGTTCCAGGGACACTGTGCCTATCCTGTGTCCCAGCGCGGCTGTGCTTCCCCCTTCGGGAGCTGATTAGGAAAGCACATTGCTCCCCCTGCGCCTACCCTGGCCAGGTACAGGCAGCCTCTGGCAAAGCCACAGGAAAAGGACTGTGGTCTTGTCAATGGCAGGAAACCTGGGAGTGGGGGCAGAGCAGACACTTGGGTGCTCTGGCTGGAGGCCCACTCCGCCACCAGATTTGCTGGGTGACCCCGGAGATGTTGCTTGACCTCTCTGGGCCTCTCTGGCTCAATCTAACTAGCAAGAACAGCTACAACAGAAAGATAAGTATTTGTTTTGCTTTGTTAGATGGTTTTTAATGGACCCTGTGTGCATTGATAAGTAATCCAAGTTGTATCAAACGGTATGCAGGGAAAAGTACAGACCTCCCTCAGGCCCCTTCCCAAAGGCAGCTTCCTGCATGTCCTTCCAGAAAGGCTGTATACTGATGACTGTTTCTGAAAAAGTATTTATAGGTTTCTCTGAGACAGGGTCTCACTCTGTCACCCAGGCTGGAGTGCAGTGGCACCATCATAGCTCACTGCAGCCTTGACCTCCCGTCCTCAAGTGATCCTCCCACCTCAGCCTGTGGAGTAGCTGGAAATAGGGCCTGGCCAATTTTATTTATTTGTTTATGTTGTAGAGACAGGGTCTTACTGTGTTGTCCAGGTTGGTCTCCAGCTCATGGGCTCAAGTGACCCACCTCAGCCTCCCAAAGTGCTGGGATTATAGGAGTGAGCCACTGCGCCCAGCTCTGCAGTGTTTTCGTTAAACATGCACACATACACTTAACACAATCATTTAAACCATGCTAAGTTTATTTATATATATATATATATATATATATATATATATATATTTTTTTTTTTTTTTTTTTTTTTTTTTTTTTTTTTGACACGGATCTCACTGTCACTCAGGCTAGAGTACAGTGGTGTGATCTTGGCTCACTGCAACCTCCGCCTCCCGGATTCAAGTGATTCTCTTGTCTTGACCTCCTGAGTAGCTGGGAGTACAGACATGCACCATCAAAACCTGGCTAATTTTGTATTTTCAGTAAAGATGGGGTTTCACCATGTTGGCCAGGTTGGTCTCGAACTCCTGACCTCAGGTGATCCACCTGCCTCAGCCTCCCGAAGTGCTAGGATTACAGGTGTGAGTTACTGCACCCGGCCAAGTTTATACTTCTTATGGAAGTATAAGACACATTCAGGAAAGTGCACAGGGTGTAAGGTTATACAGCTCAATGGAGTTTCACAAGCTGAGCACTCCTGTACACCCAGCATGGAGATCAATAAATGCAATTAGCAGCTTCCCAGGAGACAGCCCCTCTTGCACGTTTACTCATACTGGTTCTTTCCTTTGTATGAGACACAAAAAAGAATCATCTAACGATAAGTCTCCTTCTCTCCCAGTCACCTAGCTCCAGTCCTCGGAAGCAATTTCTATGTTAAGGTAACCAGGATCCTATGGATTCCTGCAGAGATGGTCTGCGTATATAGGCAAGTTACATAGATATTGTTTTTCCACACAAGTGGTAGCATTGCATACATTCCTCTCTGTGCTTGGATTTTTTTTTCTTACCCATGCTCCTTGGAGACCCTTGGTTGCTCACAGAGCGGTTTGATACCTTTTCATAGCTGCATAGTGCTCCATTATGCATATTTTGCAGCCTGCTATCTTCCTGCTAATGGACAGTTAATACCCATGAGCCTTTGTGATCTGCAAGTTCAGCCCAACACATGTGACTGGGGAGAAGCATAGCTCAGGGCCAGTACCTCTGGGAACATTTTCTAACGCCGTCTGCTCTCCCAGCATGCACATCACCTGCAGGATGGTCCAGCCCAGCCAAGCGTCTCCGGGCCAATTTGGGGCCAGAGAGTAAAGTTGCTCCAGAAGAAGAAATCCAGGACTGAAAGGGTTGGAATGACCAACTCAGCCAAGGCACCTTGGACCCCAGAGGGATACACCCTCCCCCCAAGTCTTGACTCATGAAGCATCAGCATGAGAATAATCTTACAGTTCATCATCTCACAATGAAGAAAGTGAGACAAGACAGGAAGCAACCTGCCTGGGGTCCCCCAGCAAGTCCTTGGCCCTGTTGGGCCAGCAAGAACCCAGATCTTCCTCCTTGCTGTATAGGGCTCTCTTCTCTAACTCCACAGTTATGAGCAGGAAGGCCTCAGAGGTCACCCATGGCAACCTGAAGCTCCGAGAGGAGCAGTGATGAGCCCCAGTTGCTTGAACAGCTTGGTAAACTGCCTACGCACTTTACATAAAATAAATACAGCTTCTGCAGGGGCAGTGGCCCATGCCTGGAATCACAGCATTTTGGAAGGCCAAGGAGGGCAGATCACTTGAGGCCAGGAGTTCAAGACCAGCCTGACCAACATGGTGAAACCTCATCTCTGCTAAAAATACAAAAAACAGCATCTGGAGCTGAGCAGGGCTGAGAACACAGGACCTCTTCCTCCAGCCCTGAGTGCCCACAGCACTTCAGGTCCCCTCATTGGCCCAGGGCACTTCCATTTTATGAAGCTTTTGTTAGGTAAGAAAAAAAAAAAAAAAAAAAAAACGCCATGAAACAGAGCAAGACTATGGCATATTTGGTAAGTTTTTGGTAAGTTAACTTTGTTTGTTTGTTTGAGACATGGTCACACCCTGTCATCCAGGCTGGAGTGCAGTGGCACGATCATGGCTCACTGCAGCCTCTACCTCCAGGGGTCAGGTAATCCTCGTGCGTCAGCCTCCTGAGTAGCTGGGACTACAGGTGTGCACCACCATGCCCAGCTAATTTTTTGTTTTGGGGCATTTCACCATATTGCCTAGGCTGGTCTCAAATTCCTGGGCTCAAGCAATCCTCCAGCCTCAGCCTCCCAAAGTGCTGGTATTACAGGTGTGAGCCACTGTGCCTGTCCTGGCAAGTAAACTCTTAACTATGCCCACACAGTCAGGAGCACAGTGCATTATTGTGGATCGTTATATAATTAGAGGATTTACAGAAACATTGGTTCATGGAACATACATATGCAGTTGGATGTCTTTGTTCAACCCCATCTGCATCTCTTATGACTGTATATTTTACCTTGTGTCGTTGTGATATCAAGTCTAGACCTGACTAGGTAAATGTAGTGCATGACTTTGAACTGGATCCTGTATTTCAGAGGGGAAAATGTGACAGGGGACCT